AGCAGGAACTTGGAGTTGGGGAACAGGCGCGACAGGTAGACAGAGGACTTGAGCGTGAAGGGGTCTTTGTTGCAGAGGACGCGGGCTGGCTCTCCGTGCTTGGCGATCACCTCCAGGATGAAGGCCTGCATGGCAGCGTCCAGCACCTCGTCTGTCACACCCGCCTCGTCCAGCCGCAGCTTCTCCCGGCCCGACTTGGACCAGGCCTGGCGCATGGCCAGCACGCGGGGGATGATGCGGGTCTCCTCCCCGCAGCGCACCTCGGGGTGGGCGTCCAGCATCGCACGCATGAGCGTGGTGCCACTCCGGGGCACGCCCCCCACGAAGATGAGCGGCATGGCCTTGCCGTAGCGGTACTCCACGTGGTCCGTGCCCACCATCACCAGGTCCTCCTGCTCCGGCCGCATGGCCCGCCGGCGGGGGCCCCCCAGTGCCACCCGGCACTCCAGTACCTGCTGCCCCAGCTGGACCGCCAGCACCAGGGCCAGGGCGAAGCCGGCTGCCAGCAGTGCCCTCCGCACCGACAGGCGCATGCTGGGCCCAGGGCGGGTGGCGCGCTTCAGCGACAGATGGGCGGGAGCCCCGCCGGGCTCACATCTGGGGAGAGAGAGGGACACGCGGTCAGGGAGGCCTGCGGGCTGTAGGCGCTTTACCATCCAGACCCCAAGAGTGGCAAGTATGAGGGTGCTGACGTTCAGAGCAGAACGCTGCGGGGCACTGCATCCATCTTAATTCATGAAATCCTCCAACAACCCTAAGCGTAGCTGCTATTATTACCTCAGGGTGCCAGATGGCCTGGGTTCAAATCCCCCCTGGCTACTTCCTAGCCGTGAGATCTTGCCCAGTTCCTTAACCACTCAATGCCTCAGTTTCCCCAACTGATAAATGGAAAGAGTAATAATTCTTTCAAAAATGGACTTTCTTGAAATACATTTATGTGAAATTCTTTAAAATGTGAAAATAATAAAGCACTAGAACATCAGATTTCAGCAGCACAGTCGTTTGATGAAGACATGGGTTTTGCCTGTTTTGTTCACGGCTGTCTCCCCAGCTCCTAGCACCGTGCCTGGCCCCTAGTAGATGCTTAACAAATATTTACAGAATGTGCTTGGGTCGAATGAGCGGGGCCTGGCACAGAGTAAGTGCTGGGAAATGATTATGGTACAGCGAGGAGGAAACCAAGGTACAGAGCGACTGTTCACCGTTGTCCAGCTGGAAAGCGGCCAAGCCAGAGTCCATGATTTTGACCCAGGCCAGCAGGCTCATCAGCCGGCTCTGTGTCTGCTCTGAGTGACCACAGTCTGCCTCTGCAGGAGAGGCTTTTCAGAAGGTGCAAAATATCCTGGTCTGGGCTTCCTCCAGAATCGCCGTCCGTTCGTTCAGCCTTCACTCAGAAGCAATAAAAGGCGTCAGGCACCTGCTTGAGGCTGGAGACAGGAGAGTGGACGAGACAGCCAGGCCTCTGGCCTCAAGGAGCTTACAACCGAGTTGGGGATGTGGACAGTACACAAGCTACCGCCAGACCGTGATAACGGCTTGCAAAGAAATAAGCTGGACACCATGAGAGAGATCAAGAAGGGGAAGGAAGAGGGAGGTTAAGGAGGACTTCTTGGAGGAGGTGACGTCCAAGCTGAGACCTGGATGAGAGGGAGCTGGCGGTGTGAAAATGTGTGGGAAGGGTGCTCCAGGCAGAGGGAACGGAGAGTGCAAAACCCCAAGATGGGAGAGAGAGGTTTTGGCGTGTTCAAGAACCTGAGAGGAGGCTTCTGGGGCTAGAGGGGAGGGAAGGCGAAGATGGGGCGCAGCTGCCAGGCATGTCCTCAGGGGATAGGGAAGGAGCTGGACTTACTCTACAGGCAGCCCCTGGGGAGAGGGCCTGCAGGGGTGGGAACGGAGGCGGGGAGGTCAGTCAGGAGGCTCCTGCCCGTGTCCTGGGGAGACTTGGGGATGCTCAGACTCGGGGGATGACGTGCAAACAGGGGGAGGGGATGACTTAGGACATGAATTATGACCCTGAGCCTAGCTCCTCACCCTTCCCAAATGTCACTAATAAAGATGATGAGACCTCAATGCCAATTCTTTAGGTAGGGGCTGGTTTCAAAGAGTAGCCACCCCTTCTCTAGTCACTCAAATGTCAGATCTGTCCTCCTCCCCAATTCACCCTCAAGGCCCTTTGATTACGCAACGTCAGCCCAACGCAAAAGGTGCAGACCCAGATGCTGGACAGACAGCCCACCTCCGACCACCCAGCCCTTCTCTGCCTCACCCCCGCTGTGTTTCAGAACCTTCGTTTCCTCTCTCACCTCTTTCTAGAATCCAAGTGAGGGCTTGAGGTCTCTGGGCATTCAAGGAGTCAGACAGACCTGGGTTCAAATCCCAGCTCTGCCATTTCCTGTGTGGCTGTGTGAGCTTGGACAACAGACTTCACTTCTCTGAGCCTCATCTGTAAAATGGGTCTAAGAGTGTCCACCTCAAAGGGCTATTATGAACATTAAATGACCCCCTTTAAGAACTTAAGAATGTGCCCGGCACACTGAGAGCATTTGAAAGAATATTAGCCATGATCACTGACTGGTTATTCAATTACCCCAACATTTCATGAGTTCCTACTGTGTGCGGGAGTTGGGCTATGGAGTTAAGAGACACAGCCTCAGCCCCCCGAGTCCACTCATACTGTGGACCCACACTAGGGAGGGCGTGACAGGTTCGACCTGTGTAGGTGAGGGAAGGCTTCCTGTAGGAGGCAGCCTTTGTGCCGAGTTCTGAGCAGTGGACAGGGAAGTTTTGCACAGGCAGGTGGAGAAGAGAGAGAAGGGAGTTCCTGGCAAAGGGAACAGCCAGTGCAAAGTAACAGGCAGGAAAGAGTCCAGCATGCCGGGGGGCTTCAGGTGGCTTGGCGAATGGGACAGGGTCTGAAGGGAAAGGAGTGGGAGGCGGCTTTCTTCTTTGGATGGGAGGTTCACCCGAAACCACTCAAGGACCTGGTTGGCAGCTAGACCAATCCACCCACGAGGGCCTGGGCCGCCTGGGGCCCCTCAGGCCATAGCAAGTGGAAAATAAACATCAAAGCTGAGGAAGTACACAGCCTCGGGGCCTGGGGTCGAAACTGCTAAGAGGCCCTGGCATTTCCCGGCCATGTGTCTTTGGGAGAGTCTCTTCCTCCATCTAAGCCACAGTTTCCTCAACTACAAAGACGGGTGGGTCCACTGACCTCAAAGGCTGCTGTGAGGTTTCTAGAAGCAACTGACAAAGCAAAGATGAGTCTCATCCGGGGGTTGCTAGCTTCTCTGAGCATCAGAAAATAGCTGGGGACCCCCTCCCCAGAAACCTGAGCCTATCATATGCTGCTGAAATTGTTAGCAGTTAATGTGTACACTGGATTCATGTCTGGCATGGGGAAATCTAATTCCAGGGCTGCTTTCAGCAGGGAAGCAGGCTGGACAGGACACAAAGTCCCTCAGAAATCCCTCTATGGAGCTCTCGGCTTCTTTAAATGCTCACTGAAATTCTCCCCTTAGACCTGAGAGTAGAATTCTGCCAATGATTATTATTTCAGTGGCAAAACCCTGGGGGACTGTCAATCACACTTTAGCTTGAATTAGTACAATCACCCTTTCTTCCTGACACTTGGTGGGGAGTGAGAGACTGAAGCTTTGGGGAACAGATGGCGATGGGGGATGCAGAGAAAGGGAGAAAAGGGGATAATTTGGGAAAGTGGTTTCCAAAAGGGATAGACACAGTGTGCCTGCCCGTGTGTGTGTGTGTGTGTGTGTGTGTGTGTGTGTGTGTACTCTTCGAGCTTCTGTTTGGGGTTGGAAGTGATTTGGATACTAAATACCAGGGGAAAAGGCCTGGAAGAAGGGATAGACAGAATTTTTTAAAATGTTATCAACTCATGAGTTTTGCTTAATACTGAGCACTCATCTGGCTACAGCATTTCAAAACAAAGCACTGAGTTGTGTATTTTTATATTGACTGAGCATGTCCTCTGCTAAAGCTTATTCCATGCCTCATGTAGCGGAATCCTCTCCACCACCTCTGGGGTAGGGATGCCTCCTGCCCAGCAGGCAGCTCAGAGAGAAGAGGCAACTTGCCCGAGATGGATGGCATGGCTGGGGTGGCAGGCCTGGGTCAGACCAGGCTGAGGCTGAGCTGTTCACTGTCCTTGGACAGCACCCAGCGAAGGGCTCATCTCAGTCGCCAGGAGAAAACAGCTCAAAGCAAGCAAGTCAGCCGTGAGCAGGAGACTGCACAGACCTGGAGGATGGCTTGAGAAGCAAAGGCAGGGCCACGTGGCAGAGGGAAAGCAGCTGGGAGCCTACGAAGCAGAAGGTGGCTTCCTGAACACCCAGAATCAGAGACTCCGCCCATTCCAGGAAGGGCCAGAGGGCCCAGTCCAGGGACTCCGGTCTGCCCTCCGTCCCCACCACCCTGTTGGACCCTGTCGAGGGAGGTGTCCCGGCATCCTGGCAGTGAGGATGGTGGCTAAGACCCTCAGACTTGGAGTCTTACAGCCCCAGGTTCAAATCCAGCCCCTGTCACTTGCCAGCTGGAGAGTCGGACAAGGGACTTCGCCTCTCTGAGCCTCTGTTTTCTCCTCCAAAAAAAAGGGGGGATGATAAGAAGCTTTTTTCAGGGAGCTATTATGAGGTTCAGGGAGCTTTTGTGTGAAGGGCAAAGCAAGCACACCAAGAACACTGATGCTGGAAGGTGGCATGCAGAGGGTTTGATTCTGGCCGTGCCTTGAAGCTGTCCACTAATGCCGGGTAAGTCCTGCCTGCTCTGGGACTCAGCCTTCTCCCATCACCAGGAGAATCATTTTCCTAAGGGGTGAGGAAGAACAGAGGCCTGCCCTCTCCACGCTGCTGGGATCCAGCTTTGTCTGGCACTGGATTTCTAACAGAGGAGAGAGCTGCCTGGGGGAGTTTGCTCAGCTGCCCAATCAGGAGGCTGGGGGCTGTCCCTGGAGGAGCCGGGTCTCTGGGGGACCTTCGGGAAGCACTTACCTCCCCTGGACACTCTCATCCCTGGGATCTAGCCCTCGTGGCTGCTTGCTAAGACCCTCCACGGGTTGAGCCCTGCAGAGGCAGAAGAGACGCTGCATTAGGTGCATTAGGGGTGGGTGCTATGGAGAGGGGCTGGGCCCCCTCGGAGGGGCAGAAGGGGATGCTGGGCTTCCCAAGGGTGCCCGACAGTGACTCTGGGAGGCGAGCGGCAAGGCAGGGACAGGCCACCTCAGCCCAAGATGTTGAAGCTGGGGTCTAAATCCACTGATTCAGCCAGGGAGTGAACTGGCCCACTTCTCAGGCAGAGGGGTGTCAGCTGAGAACCTGAGCTAATGCACTGCTGCCTTAGGAAGTAATGGGTCTCTTACAACCGGGCTCTCCCTTCTTCTTGGCCCAGGGATCTTGGACTTCAGGAAAAGTAAATATAACAAGAAGCAACAACCACCACCACTGTACCACGAATCACCATCTGGAATTGCTGGGTATGGTTGAACAGGCTGTGCACTGCTCAACTCCAAAGGGCACTG